CTGTTGTCTAGAGAGTGTTCCACAGTATCTGTGGCACAGAAAGCCAACAGCTAGCACACAATGTATGCATCAATCCTAGTGCTTCGTAACTTCAGGCACCCTTCGAACTGGGGATTTAATAATTACTGGTCTTGCCCATTCCCCTCAATTTGTATGATCCATGAGGTCAGAGACCTATTTACTTAGCCTAAATATAATTAGGTGCTCAAGTCACTGAATAACTGAATTGGATATATGATAAAAGCCTTGTTCTAATCACGAAGCATCTCAATCAGAAGGCTAGTGGCTGATGATGTCTTTCCTCACTCTACAATAACTCAGCTTCATAGAGGAGACAGGAATATGCAGGAATTTCCTACCTATACAAGTTGCTCCAAGGGCCAATTACCATAAAAATATCATCTGTGATGGAAGGGAAATAGGACTAACCAATATCCCATCTAAACTGCCCTGCTAGTCCTGAACAAATTCACTGAGGAAACTGTTCCCCAATATGAATGAAAAGTCAGATACCAGTTAAGAAAAGGGAAGTCAACTTGTGGGACCCCTTTTATCCCATCAATTCTCACCTGTAGACAGGCGCAGCTGCTTGTGAGGTGGACAGGACTCACACACCGGGAAAGACAGACTCAAGTTGTGGTCACAGCTCAACTGTAAGAAATCGGGAGCCCCGTGCAAGGTCTTAGGGAGATGGTCCAGTCCCAATAAAACAAAGATCTAGTCTCCCCACCCTGTCTCATAAATTCCTTACCCACCAAACTAACCCTTCTCAATATACCACGTGTCTAGGGCTCCATACCGGTGAGAGTACATGCTGAAAACCAGAGAGGGTTGATAGTAACAGATCCTCCAGGTGACCCTGCTTGGTTTCCCTCAGGGCCACACAGAAGGCATCAAAAGCATGGGGACCCCTCTTGGGAAGCAAGCTGAGGAGTTCCACATTCTGGCTGAAACTGCCCACTTTGGCCTACAATACAAGAATAAAACATGAAATCATATTTACATATTTAGCTATAATTCCATTTCTCCAGATGAGCTCCCTAAAAATGTCATCATCCACCTCAAGAATTCCTTTCACAGGAAAAACAATACGGGTGAAACCCTTCCCATTATTCCGGAATTATATACCTTTTCTGTTCAATGCTCTAGGGTAGAAGGGCATTTTCAATTCCTTAATAAGGCACCATACCCTTTTTACACTTTATCATGCTCTGTTCCTACTTCTACAACCAATTTACTTGGCTTTTCTCTTTTGCCTCCAGATACCTGAATGTGCTCCCTCATTTCGAAGGTGATGATGTCTTGTTCCAGGAGATGTTCTAACAGTTCACTCAGCAACAGCTGTTTGGCCAGCAGCACTCGGTTCTTTTTCAGAGCTTCCTGATGGGCAGGATGCATGCCACACACGCCCAAAACCCTACACATAAAAGGCAGAGAGAAAGGCTGTCAAAACAGAAGATATAGCCTAGAGAGTGGAGTGGAAGAGGTGTGGGGAGGAAGAACAAAAGGAACAGAACTTACAATAACCAGGTTGATTTTATCGAATCTCATTAAAATCAAAGAAGTATTGAGCAGTAACATGCTGAGCATAAGGAAATGATGTAATTCTTTACGGAGTATGTTCGACTGAGAGCATTGTCCGAGATAAATGGTCTCTTCAGGGGAGGGAAATAGCTATCTTATCAAAAATACACACAAGCACACATGTATTCATGAGAAGGAATACTCCTCAGACAGACCAATTTCAATTAAAAGAATTATTCCAAAAAACACTTCACATTATTTATCTAGGCTGCTGAAAGTGATCTAAGTTTTAAATGATTCTGTGTGAAGAATAAAATAAATTTGATACGATGGCAAAAACTCAAACCAACGGCCAGCTCTAATGGAAAATAAATGAGACAACACACAAACACACTCTATCTAGTCTACTTATACAAATTATAACTATGGCTTTTCAAACTTTAAGTTCCTGTGACAAAATGTGACTAGAAAATATTAGAATACTGTAAGAACTCGGTAAGTAGAAAGCATGACAGGAAGTCACAGTAGATAAATACCAATGATGGACACAACCACCATAATTTGAAATCACTTAAAGAGTTAAAGCACATAAAGGCTAAATTATTTTGGTAATTTAGTTTACTAGGGATATCTTTATTTCAAGGATTCCTTACTTTTGTTATTGGTTTGGAAAGAGATCAGTTTCTGTTTATGAACTAGAAGAATCCCATTTAAATGTCTATTATCTATGTGCCTAGTTTATGTAAATCTAGAGCTCGCCAGCCTGCTTAGTCAGTTTCCAAATATACGACAGTAGTAAGAGCCTGATGGCAGTGAGAAAGGATATGGTAATAGCTTCAGTTTATAACTTAAAACCCTATTTAAAGATCCATCTTGATCTCAGAGATGCTACAATGTGCTTCTTAGAATCAGGGAAATTCCATGCACTTGTAGAATGTACTTGGCTTAACTCTAGGTGAGAGATTTACAGTTACAGAAGAGAAAAGCATGGTCTTGGAAGAGCTGAGAGAGACCCAAGAAGAGAGCATGTGGGATCCCAAGGCAGAGGAAGTGGCCAGGAACACATTCCCAGGGTTGGAAGCAGCCAACCCAGGTTACAATTTGGGTTTAGATCAGTAGTGATGTTTTCAATTCCACTTAAACTTCCTGGTTCTGGAAAGACTCCTGTTACCCCAAACTTCCAGTAAAAACCTGCTACAACACAATCTACAGAAATCAAAAAACTATTTAATAATCACTTTAGAACACACCAAAGCAATAACAATGATAAAACTCAGGTTAAAAATAAGTGTAATGAGGCCAACCTCAACGTAAAGCCATCAGTAAAAGGCTTTGCCATACTCATTTTAATATGTGCCCATTGCTGTTAACTTTTGATGAACAGAAAACTAAAGCAGCCCTGGCTGGTGTGGCTCAGTTGGCTAGGCGTTGTCCCAGGCACTGAAAGGGTGCTGGTTCGATTCCTTGTCAGGGCACATGCCTGGATTTTGGGCTCATCCTCGGTGGGAGACATGCAGGAGGCAGCCCATTGAAGCTTCCCTCTCACATTGATGTTTTCTCTATTGATGTTTCCTTCTCGTGTCAATGTTTCTCTCTCTCTCTCTCAAAATATTAATAATAGTAATAATAAAACTAAAACAAACAAAATAAGTTTTTCCTCCCTTGGATCCCATGACACCATTCTCTCCAGGTCCTCTCTATGCCCACCATATTCCTCCAGAGGACCTTTGGCCTGCCCTTAAATGTTGATATTAAGAACCCCTGAAAGAAGCTGTCCCTAGTCTGTCTCATCCATACTCATAATTCAATAATTAACTCCCAGTTCTTAAACCTTGCAAGTCCCATACTTGAATTTTCAATCAAAAACTTCCTTGGGTTTGATCTGAAGCATCATCTGTTTTCTTTTCTTTTTGTTAACCCTCACCGAGGATATTTTCCCATTGATTTTTAGAGTGGAAAGGAGGGGTAGAGAGAAAGAGAGAGAGAAACATGGATGTGAGAGACACGTCATTGGTAGCCTCCCACACATGCCCCGGATGAGGGCCGGGATCCTGCTAGCAACCAAGCAAGGTATGTGCCCTTGACCAGAAACAACACACCCTTTAGTCTGAGGACCGATGCTCTGACCACTGAGAAACCGGCCAGGGCAGCATCGTCTGTTTTGCACACACCTGCTCCTTTCTGTATCCATATTGGGCCGTGAATCTCAAAGGTGGACTTTCCAAAAGTAACCTCCATCCTAGAACTTTAGGACACATCTGGGCGGGGAGGAAGGGGTAGACAAAAGGACACAGAGTTCTTCGGTCCTGATCCAGTGTCCTCCATCAAGTTTCAGTTCCGAAGTCTTCAATTAATCTTCTGGGTCTGGACCAGGAGGCTCTTCAGTGTTATCCTGTGTGCTGTCTGCCATTAATGCTATAACTGGGGCAGAGATGGAGACACACGGGGGGACTTGGGAACCTCCTGGTCTTTCAAAGTGATCTCAACCCTTTCAAAGCCTGTGCTGACTGCTTCGAAAACCTGATCATTATACCCAAAGCAATACGGGTCATGCTATGCTCAATCGAAATCAAATGCACATTAGGCAGTATCAGAAGGTCTGCAGGTCTCATGCAGAAGAAGCAGGGGAGAGGCTCTCTGAAAGATTTAAAGATGGAGAATCTTTAAAAGAGGCCGAGATTTGGCAGGGATGGAAAGCGCTCCCTTGTTCAAAGCCCCCCTGGGTCGGACGAATCCAGGCCGGGCAGGGAGGTACGTGGCCGAGAAGAGGCCCGCGCGCTCCTGGGGGCGCAGCCCGGCTTCCCACTCCTGGCAGGAAGCTCGGACAAGGCTCCTTAGGGGTCCAAGGTGGGGAGAGGCGCCAGGGCCACACGCCTAAGCCGCGCGATCGCCTTCCCTGGGCCCCACTAAGGACCCCTGGGATCTTCCCTCACTCACCGGCGTGCCCTGTCAGCGGCCATTTGCCCGTTTAGGGGGAGGGCGGGCCGGGAGCCCGCGATCGGCGTTGCCATTTCTCGCTTTTCCCGGGCTATGCACGCACCGCCCACGATGCAAACAAACCGAAAGCCTCCGAGTCCTCTGCATCCCTCTCCCGACTGGCGGCCCACAGCGCGCCTGCGCCCTACCT